AAGTCAGCGAAATATAAAGGCGGTTTTGGGAAACTTTGGATTTATTCTGCTTCTCTTTGAATATAGATACTTTCTACGGCATTTTGATAGTTACCTGAATACGCAACGTTGCCCCCATTTAAGCGGCTTCGTATCTCTTACCGTTTCCGAGATCCCAATGATGAGGGTCGAATTTGACACACCCGGTATACAACCAAGTCTTTTCAAACAGAACATCAAAATTGGATGCCAGTTGCATAGGACGCTATATAAGTATTGACGAGCAACTATGCAACTTTGTGGCCTTCACACAGTACAATAGTGAACACATGTACAAAGTGAAACGGTAGGTCGTATGGACAGACAGATTCTCATATCTGGAAATAAACGAGCTCCAAGTTCATTTTTTACGGAACGACAAACCTTTAATATCACGTATGGTACTTCAGGCACTATTGAAGTGAGTTTGATTGAATACTGCATAACAAAGTTACACAATAGTAACGTAAAACTAGTGGGAGGGTTGAAAAGTTTGAGGTCTGATTTCGTTTCTTTTAACTATTCTATATGTTATCAAAGTCAACACCTTTTGAGACAAATATCGAAATATTGGACTACGTACAGGAAGTAAGTGGATAGTACCCTTTTTTGCTAAACATTTTCATTTAATGAAGCACCTTACATTTATTTGCTATGCGACGTGAAAATTTCGAACGTTAACGGCTTGCGACATCAAAGTTTTGCGAAATAGTGGTTAGAATTAGACTAAGAATATTTTTAAGACCCAAAAATCCAGGACCAGATTCAGATTTTAATTTATTGGTATTTTATCAAGTGAAACGCTTTGTATCTTATACTCTGATTTTGTTATTATTTCACAGCAAAACGAGCAATAAAAAGGCAAAATTAATGTCATGCATCCTATTTCCTTTTTTCATCATCATTTTTAATGGTGTAATTCCACCAGCTGGGTTCTGTTTTAGGGCGAAACAGTACGCCAATCCACTGGAGGTGCCCAATATGTTTCTGCTTTTTATTTGCGTCGTTTACTTTGCTAAATAAAAGTAACATAATAAATTCAGAGTATAAGTTGCAGGAATTAAAACTTAATAAAATACAAGAGATCAAAAGAAAACGATATCCGGTACTGTAATTTTGAGTTCATAAAACAAACTTAGTTCATTTCTATTCTAAAATCAAGTGGGGTAACATCTGACATTTTGAGTTTTGTGTTATCTATACTAATAGAAGCAAGATATTTAAATAAATAAAAAAATAATCAAAACAAAATATTCGATATCCATTTTTCTTGCTTTTCATTTATTCGTTGGTTTTATGTACATTATTCAGCTTAAAAGTTGTTGATTCTGATAAAAGACAAGAAGGCTTGAAACATCGAGTCCGGTCCTGGATGTTTAACCATCTGACCAGTTTTGCATTACCCCTAAGTAACTTTTCCATTGTGCAAAATTTTATCGGCTTAACGGTGGCTGAAATATGCGATATTAAATATTTGACGTGCTTTCAAGAATCACTCTCGGCAAAAAATTAATTTAGAACTTTTTGATTTTCAGATATAAAAGGGGCTACCTGCTATTTCAGTACGCCTATTTCCTCACGGAACACTATGTACACCCGAGGCCTATGCTGGGAGTAATAGAAGTAAAGCTTGTATAGATATAAATTCGTAATTCCTCTTGCTTATAAATCAAATTGGTATATCTAGCTTTTAGCTTCAATCACGGATATTGTTGCATATCCAATTCTGTCAAAGATAAAAAAAAAGACCAGTAACCGAATTATGGACAACGTCTGGAAATACTTGCCCAAACTTGTTAAGCGGAGTTCTGGCAGCGGATAGCTGAACGAGTGTGAATGCACTAGGTCTAGCAGACTGTCGGTTACGCGGTGGTATGGATTTACAACCAAAGTATTAGAGACAGCAAATTGCTCTAAATTTCGTTAGAGCTCGGAAAAGTTATGAGAAGAATGAGAATTACCTAATGCCTGGCACCTCGTGTAAATATGTCGACTGACTGTATATCTTGCTCGTTTAGGAGCATCACAGACTGCCGTGATCGATACTGGAATACAGGTTGCTTATATGGTGATGAAAAGCCAATTATCTAAGCTTTACTGAACATTATGATATGTGTGTTCATATTCGCTCATATGTACGAGCCCCATCCCACTTCAGTTGGCCCAACTATTGAAATCTTAGTTTTTTTATTATAAAACACAAATAATAAAAATGTAGCAGGGTGTTATAGGTTTAAAATATTAACAATGAATATTTTGATAATATATAGTAGAAAACATTATCATTCCGTAATCAAATTTGCAGCATAAAAATAACACATGTTGCAATTACAGCATATCAACCTATTTTCATTTCAATGCAAAATAAGTGTATAACGCATAGGTGGCTGTAAAAAATAAAAGCTATGATAATTGTTTTTATTAATCACAGCTGTCAGAATACGTTTAAAATAGTTTTGGGTAGTTAAGGTTTTCAAAATCGGTAGAGGAAAGGTTATTAGTGAGAAAATTCGGTTAATGATAATTAATTTTTTTAATTCTGGGAAATCAAACTCAGAAATTGCAACTTTGTTAGACTTATCGCGATACAGTGTGAGAAAGATTGTTAGAAGATATAACGTAACTGGTTCAGTTAATATTAAGCCACGATATGTGAAAAAAAGTAATATCACAAATGCCGTCCGAAGAAGAATAATAATGAAAAAGAGGCGTGCCAATTATTTACAATTGAGTGCTCTGTGGAGTGACGCTGTTGGAAGGAGAATTCCAAGGTCCACAACTCATAGAGAGGCCCACAAACTGGGACTTAGCACCTGCAAGGTAAGTTTTTTTATAAAAAAAAGAGAAGTAAAAACCCTAAAGTTGCACAACTTGTTTATAGGCCAAAGAAAAGCCACTATTAACTCCATTGCAGAAGAAAAATCGGCTAAAGAATATAGATAATGGACACCTCAACAATGGTGTGCAATACAATGGAGTGATGAGGCCAGATTCGAAGTTTGTGTTGTTGACAGTCGCAGTAGAGTTATTCGCAAAAAAATGAATTTCATGTTGACTGTCTGAAGAGAAAAGTGAAATTTCCAGCATCCATTATGGTCTGGGGCAGTAAGTCTTCAAAAGGAGTAGGAAAACTTCATTTTATTGATGGAAATGTGAATACAAACAAATATTTGGCAATTTTAGAAGAATCGCTTTTACCAGTGATGGAAGAATGTTTGACATCCGGCCAAGATTTTGTGTTTCAGCAAGGTGGTCAGCGTGCCATACCTCAAAAAAGGCTATAAAATGGATGGAAGAAAATAATGTACCACTTTTGAAATGGGTTTCTAGCAGTCCAGATCTGTCACCCACTGAAGCTTTGTGGCACGAAATGAAAAAGGTGCTACGACAACATCGTGCTCGTACAATCACCGAACTGAGACAAAAGCTTCAAGAAATATGGGATTGTTTTACACCAAATGTTTTCCAAAGAATTTCAGCCGTAATAAAAAATAAAGGTGATGTTACCCAATGGTAATCTTCCAATTGTTGCTTTGTTAAGTGATTTCAAATATGTATTTTTTACGACTAGAGTGTATCTAAAATGTTTTTGAGAAAATAAATTGTTTTAGAAGTAAATAGTTTCGTCATGTTTAGTTTATAAAGGCATATTTTGGTACAAATCTTGAAGTGGGCCAACTGAAGTGGGAATGGGCTCGTACTTGGACCACAGCCCATGCCTAAATAGACGTGCGTACTGGAGGGGTCGCAAAGGAAACGAGTGGGGAACGTCACAATTCTAGCAAGGGAACACACGGCATGGCACATCCTGGTCTTAGAGATCCGCTAGGTGGTACCCTGACGTTCAACGGTTTCACACCATCTATCAATTACGGAAAAGCTCTCGTTGGACGGAACTCGAACTGGCGCATCTTACAACGAATAGGTTAGTAGTACACAGCGTTAGCCACTACGCTACCGGTCTGTCCAATAAAAATTATGTGAAATCACCTAAAATGTGTTAAGCGCACTATTAACATCATTCAGTTGGATGACCTATTCAAGAAATACTTCAGGAATTTTGGTTAAGCCAAAAGCGTCGACAACGAAGCCGGAGGCTCACTTGTGCGTACACTGCACAGAAAATGAATTTCAGGTGTTATGCATGTTACGTCTCGGCAATATTGCTTGATGTTAATGAACCAACAAAGCAGGGCAAAACGCGAGTTAAATTAAGATCCGTATGGATAAGGATTTCGCGGTGTACGTGCGGTATTTTTCACGCCGAATTTGAGAAGTTGTTCATTGCTACTTTTCATCATTTTCCATGGCAAGTACTTGTGGAGAATCAGCAACTTAGCACGAGCACATGAGTATGAAGAATGAATTATTAGGTCAGCTAATAAGTGTTTGATTTGTATTTAATGAAATTACAGTTGCAAAATATACGCGATGACTGTGTATGAGCTTGAAAGGGAGTGTTGAGGAATTACCGGATATGAATACCTTCTCACAATAGTTCCGATTATAATTCAGAATTCGGGAAAGCAGAGAATCCGATTGTAATATTGTTAGGCATAACCAGTCTGTCTATCTGACACTATTAAAAAACTGCGAATGAAGGCATTGATAAAACCCTAAATCCAAAAGGTACGTTAGATAAATAGATCTAAATTTTCTTGATCGAAGTAAAGCATCCAGCAGACTATGTTGACATTTTTCACATACATCTGTACAAATGTTGCTCTGCTTGCACTGGGCTTCCGACAGCCACACTACACTACATATAGTATTGGTTTCATAGGTGTACGTGTCTTCTCTTACACAGTAGAATTTTCTATCTCTAGTTTTCGTGGAATCTATAACTCATCAATCAAGAATAGCTAACGCAAATAACTTTTTCGCCGCTCTCGATTTTAATTAAAGTTTGAAGTGTTTACATCGCATTGTATTAAAGACTTCAATTCAGTTAAAGCAAATATTTTCCATTTTTTCTGTTGCAGAACTGGTAAGCTACACTACCCAACAAACGTCTGTGGGCCGCTGTTTGAAGAGGAACTGGAGTTTTGGGGTCTAGACTCCAACCAAGTGGAACCTTGTTGTTGGAGTACATACAGCGTCCATAGGGATACCCAGGTATGCTATCATCATGTTCTCTCCTCATTAGCATATAAACGTCTTTTAAGCTTGGTTGTAAATTGAAATAATCGCACATTGTGCCTAGTTCCCAATAAGAATAAATTTTCGGTACGGGTTTACCTAACAATACTGGTAGCGGTTTTTCCAAGATATGCGAGCGTTTTTTACTTACAACGTCAATTAGTGGGGAAGTTTTATAATCGCGGAACAATTCGAAAATAAGATAACAGTTGCCCTTGATTTACACTCAATTTCAGACGTGATCACATCACTTCAGTTTGCTGAGTTATTTGAACGTCCCTCTCACCTACCTACTGTTTTATGTACTACGCAATTGCTGAATAAACTATCACAGGCTGAAATTTAACCATTTCATTGTCGAATCAGAAGAACTAGTTTCCTGTTTCCGATATAGTGGGTAGTGCCGCGTTTGGAGAACTATCTATAAATGGCAGGGTGATCTCAGACTCATCTCTGTTTGGACTGTTTCACTTCACTTGCAAAACGAACTCAACAAGCATATTTCTGGACGTTATATCACACACAAACAATGTCACTTATTTCCATCGGCCTGTTCATCTGTAGGTCTCTCTGTCAACAACTAATTAACTAATTCTTGCTCCTTTATAGCTAGAAAAATACCTCTCGGATTTGGACATAAGATTACTACTATGCAAAGGGTGGAAAAGGTTTGTAGGCTTTGAAGACCCAGTGTAGCGCAGATACCGACAAAAAAAGAAAAAAAAATGAAAATCTTTCAAACTTTGCTTATTGATGTCTAAAGGATTAATGACTCACAAATCTTTTACAAATCAAAATTTGGGGGTTGGCGGCTGTGGGATTTATAGGGAGGTTTTAAATGTTGTGTCGTTGGTACCAGTAAGATTGGATACATCATACGTAGTTCCTATACACTTACCCGAGTAATTCTAGCACTGTCTACTCAGCAACACACCATCATTTCACTACTACCAGCAGTTGGCCCACGCACACGACCAGTGCGGGACAGTGCAATATAATTCATTAGGAATAAATAATAATATTTGGTGATCATATTAGAGCAATAGTTATTAACTATGGAATAATGGGCAGACGCTTAACCGTCAACTGCTAATATATAGGTGAAAATTTTTGGGAATGCATTATTTTAACCATTATTGTAACTGTTTTCACGTAATCTGGCTCTATCGCATGTCGTTATACAGGCGTATAGGGGTCTTCACAGCTGCCGAACAGAAACGATATAAGGGCATACAAGAGTTGTCTAGTTATTATGCATCATGTATACTGAATTTTAGAATATTATTAAGGCAAAGTTGAGTAGGACAATGCAATAGTATTATGACAGATCTGATGGAGCTGATCATGGATCATCTAGTTGGGACTAGTGTGATAGTTCTTGACAGGAACTTTGATTCCAGGGTTTGATCAGTAAGTTAGCCAACTATTATGTCAAATAAATATTCATCTATTTATATCGGTCGAAATCTTTTAAGAAAACATATACATTAGAAATTACTGAGCCAGAAATTTGTTGTAGATGCTAAAAAGTAAAAAACAGATGGAACAGATAATAATAATAGACGTCTTTATTTATCCACAATTACATTGTAGTATAGCCAAATGTCAGACTTACATGGCGAAGTTTAGCATGCTTCTACTCTTACACTTAACCATATAGTCGCTAGCAGATGTTCAAAAGTATACACTATCCACAAACAGATTTGGTTCATTACATCGAAAGTAAAAATTAAAAAAACCCAAGTACACCAAAAAATTATTAACCTGAATTAAAGACGGAAAAAAACGAAATGAATTTTACGTAAATTATCTGTTTGGAGGGTTGAGTAATAATGTTTAGCTTTTTGTCGAAAGTCAGGTAATGAAAATTCTTTATATACTTTAGGAAGGCCATTATAAATACTACCAACATTGTAAGAGAAACTGCATTTAAAAAGTGTAGTCGTATGCAGGGGCATTCTAATATTGTTTTCTCTGAGAGTTCTACAGTGAACATCATTATCAAATGAAATTTTTTCCCTCAAATACTAAGGTTTAGACGTGAGTAGCAACTTGTGAATAAAAACTGAATAGTGATACTTGACCATGTCATTAATTTTTAACCAGTTTAGAACGGGATAACTCGAATAACGTTTTTAGTGAAATTGTCTAAACACGTATAGTATACGATATTACAATAATTTAGTATAGATATGACCAACGCTTCACATAGTTTTTTACGCAACTTAAAATTTAGTAAATAACTGTTTACTATAAGAGTACGTAGCCTTAGGTAGGTTTTCTGGGAAATACTTTTAACATGTTCGATAAACCTTAATTTTGTATCGAAAACAACGCCAAGAATTTTTCAGAATCAGAAAATCGCAAAACTTGGTTATTTATCTGAATGTTCAAGAGCTGTGTCACACTGTATGTTTTTCTTTGTGCGCAAAATAATAACATTTTAGATTTTTGTGGATTAATAAGTAGATTGTGACCTACAGAGTATTTAATTAATTTACTAGCATCGGTTTGTAAAATTTAGCTATTATTATTATTGACATTATCTGGGTTAAAATAATGGAGCAACTGCGTATCGCGTGAAAATGACTGTACATGAGAATTATCGATACTTTTACTCAAGTCGAACGTATATATGAGGAACAGCAGCGGCCCCAATACAGAGCCCTGAGGTACGCCTGAGGGAACTATTGTCACTTGAGACATTGCTTGGTTGAGAAAAACATAGTTCTTTGATGAAGGTAACTGTCGAAAAATGAAAGGGATACACTATCAAGACTTATATAATTGAATTTTGTAATAATTTATGATTGACGCTGTCAAAGGCTTTCGAATAGTCTATAGAGTAACGCTAGTGCCATTTTCTTATCTAAGGCACTTAAAATATTGTCTTGCAGATTGAGTAGGGCAGATGTTGTACTATAGTTTTTTCTAAAACGGGATTGAGTGTCGGGGAGTATAAAGAATCTTTCGAGGAAAGCGGTCAATTGGAACTTTATCATTTTCTCTAAAATTTTGGATGAAAGTGGTAATAAACTGATAGGTCTGAGATCATTATACTCAGTGGGTTTCATTCTTTTTAGGAATTGGAATAATTAGAGCTTGTTTCCATGTGTTTGGAAAGGAGAATAACTGGCAGGAAAAGCTGGATCATTGACAGGGATATATAATCAATTCCCTTCGCATCAGATTTTAGGCTCACTATTGCTTGTAATACGTTATTTGAGGTAATCTTATTCAATGAAAAAATATATTCAGATCTTAATTTACTTTTGAAATAGATCTCGCAAACTAGTGAATCAACATAAAATAATCATTAATTTTGGTAGGGTCATTAAAAGTTGCTGGAAGGGTTGATTTACTACGGAAATTTATATCAAGTTGGTTGAGAGACTTCCACCACAGTTTTTTTTAAGTATTTTCATTTGCCAAATTTTCGATATATATATATATATATATATATATATATATATATATGTCTTTTTATCCCTCCTGATCATGTTAAGAGCACGGTTTCTGAGCGATTTAAAGTTATTATAGGCGTCCACGGTCTTATTAGCTTTATATAAAGCTTGTGCAGTATTCTTTTTTTATCAAGAACAGTGCGCAGTTCATTAGTTAATCAAGGTGATGGTGGCTTATTGACTCTTACAGTTTTAAAAGGTGCATGTTGATTATAGGTTTTCACTATAACGCTTGTAATGTGCATCACCTTCTCATCAATATTAGGTTTCGTGAATAATTCGTCTATACCCTATGTAAAAAGATCGATAAGACAATGATCCTCACTGAAATGTTTAAAATGATTGTGATAAATTTTTGTTTTCTTCTATAAGATGGAATATCAAAATGAGAAAAGACAAGTTTGTGATGAATATGTCCTAAAACAACCTTTTAGCCGTTAATGCCTAAAAGCGTAAAAATATGTTTTCCAATTGGAAAAAAACCTTGGCACATTTTAACAACAATAGGGAAAAAGGCATGACACTCTCATCTGAAAACTTCAGTCGAAGGTTGAGAAGTATAAAACAACATTTAGAATAGGTAAAATGCATGTTTTCTTTTTATTAACGGCTGGATAAGCACTTCTTTTCTCTCTCTCTCTCTCTTTCTCTCGACAAAATGGCAGATGACACAGTAGGAGTTTGCTTGAAAGTGCTTACTTTTTTCTTAGTTGTTGACACTTTCTCCAACACCCGTCTTAAAGTCCAATAGCTTTACGAATGTGAAAGCACAGTAATAACTCGAGAATATTTTGCAAGCGAGACTGATGCCAAAATGAGATCACCAATTTGTGGGAGCATTCGAAATTTTCGTGCGACAAACCTCAAATGCGAGACTCGAGAACTCCGCAATGTCGGTAATACCTAGTAACTATGTTCCGTTACGGTAATTTCATTTGCATAAAATGAGGCGCTGTTATTTAGTCAGAAAAGTAAACGGTATCATTAAATACCAACTTGTAGTAACGAGGTCGTCTTATTGCAATTTTTGATAAACACAGCTTTATGTGTGCAACTAGTGAATTGGAAGTTGTTGCGGTAATGCGAATGAGAATGAATCCATTAACTATTAAATACGGTCCATTACTGCCGCCCTATTTTGTCCAAATAAATCAATGTTGCATCTGGTTGACCTTCTAATGGCAGCGTAACCACTAATCTATCTTGGCACGTAAACAAGCAAAAAACAGACACTGTTGGCTCGACCACAGGAGCAAATACAAATAATTCTGGAAATGGGAAGAGGGCCATCATCAGGCACACACGTAACGGAATTACAGAGTGAACAAACAGTATTTTTCAGAAGGGGTTCGCCTCTCCTCTTCTTTTTTGGGCGCATCGAGTTAGCAAGTTGAAATTTTGGGTGATGAAAATGATGCATATATACTATGTATCACTAATTTATTTGAATGGAATGGGGAGTCATGTAGATTATTCATCAAGCTACAAGAGTTTTCTCATAAATTTGTTTCT